CTCTCTCTCTCTCTCTCTCTCTCTCTCTCTCTCTCTCTCTCTCTCTCACACACACACACACACACACACACACACACACACACACACACCCTCCTTTCCCACCTCCTGGCCCCAGACACACACAGTATGCACCTCTCTGACATTCCTCATCCTTAACAGTCCCCCTTCATCCCCCTGTGTGTGTGTATAACATCTTGAGACCCTCCTTGACACATTCCTCCCCTCCCTGCTGCTGTGTTTGTATGCAAAGCATTTTTGGAAATTGGTAACTTCTTACTTCCCTTTCCCCTCTCATAACTACATCATTTCCTAACTACTCTCTTCATGCTGACAAATAACTTTCTTCGGTGAGCAACCAAGATTTGATACTGTGTTTGACTTTAATCTGTCGTGGTCACAAACTACTTACATGGAGAAGGTCGTTTCGATGATTCTAAAGGGTGCTTGCAGTTAGTAGTTCCCTACCTTGTATTGAGCTGTTGTCCCAAGACCAGAGCCAGCGGCCTGTGCCAGGCTTATGACACAATCATACAGCTGCTCAGCATCAGCAACTAATTGATTCGCCACCATACCCAATTCTCTTTCTCCATGCCTCACAGTCACCACCAGTTTCTCCTGCAGTGCAGCATGGGCATCAGAAGATCCAGGCAAAAGCCTTTCAATCGGCGTGATAGCACTAGAAGCCATTAGCCCGTCTCCGGCCATTGATTTTGAAGTTGACGAAGCAGGTAGCACCGTGGAGAGAGCAGTTGGCAGCCTGTGGCGGTTACCTGTCCCCACAGTGCTGGTAAGCATTTGCTCCAATGGCACGACAATGTGGCCCACCTGCACACATAAAGTACATCCAGAGAATGCTGCTTCTATTCAGTTTTCCTCAAAACACCTCATATGAGTTACGAACTGTCCCCACAGCGCTGGGAAGTATTTGCTCCAACGGCACAACAATGTGGCCCAACTGCACACATATAGTATATCGATAGAACGCTGCTGCTATACAGTTTTCCTCAAAAGCACCTCATCAGTCAAGACCATAGATGCGGCGCATCACGTGCACGCACGTTGCGCACGTGTGCGCACGCACACACGTGCTCTCGCGCGTGATGCGGTGCAATTATAATGGGATAAAACAAACATTACGAAGGGCAGACTGTGGTAACTTATCCAGCGGCCTAACTCAGTTGGTAAGGCTCGCAATTGGCATTCAGGAGGTCGTGGGTTCAATCCCCATTGGCCTCATGTACCTTCCTGGTCATGCTTCGCGCCCGCCACCTAGAGATAAACCACTGTCTCCCCCGATCGGCATTGAGCAGGGGAGGGGACCTGAGGGGAGGCACAGGGATTGGTCCTGTTGGCATGGTCCCTGATGCTACCAGCTGTCCCCTGCCCGGTATCGCCCACCTGCAGGTCGGGAGCAGCCCGCGCATGTTCTCTTGTGAGCACGGTTCTGGCTCCTACGGGGTTCCCCGTATGACTATAATTAGGAGTAGTGGTAGGTAGGAAGTGTGAGGTGAAATTGAGAGAAGAATGTAGCTTACTTTAAAAAAAATAAAAATGTGTGCCTCACTGCCTCCCTTTTAAAAATTGTTAAGTGCACAGAAACAATATAATTTGGGGCCACATCGTACTCCTCGTTGGATCTAGCCTCTTTTCCAAAGGGTCCCCCGCAAAGGATTAGCAGGGAACCCATGCATTTGGAAAGACGTTCGTCAAAATGCTGGAGGAACACGAGCAGGCCAGCAGTATATTCTGGATTCGGATTCAGGTCTGTGTTCCAAGCGGTGTGGGTTACGAACTTACTACAAACACTGCAGTAGCTGTCTCGTTTTTTTTTTTGTTTTTCCTTTTCTTACGTGCAGTGGCCCTAAGGACCTTGCTCCACTCATCAGCACTTGTACAAAGGAAAACATATGGCTTGAATGCTTCCAGTTTCAAAAAGAAGATTCATTCTAGTTTTGCACATTTGGTGCGAAGTGGAGTGAAGCCCTGAAAATCACATGCTGAGTTAGCAAGTCACTAACCCATAACTGCTGAAACACGGACCTGAATTCCAAGCTACACCATATATAGCTGGCCTGCTCCCTCCTTGCTATGAGTCCAGCAACTACCCTTTCCCTACCCACGGGACCCTTGTCAATTTTTGGCAGGGAACTTTTGAATACCCGGCGGGGTTGTCTGAATAATGCGTAAGGGCTCTCTCTCTCTCTCTCTCTCTCTCTCTCTCTCTCTCTCTCTCTCTCTCTCTCTCTCTCTCTCTCTCTCTACAGCGTGTATACAGTACTATACACACATCACTCTTTTTTTTTCCTTTTTTTTGCGCATCTGCGATCAGCGCACCGCGCAGCGCTCACCGCACCTCACGTATGCGCCGCAAGTCAAGACCTGTATTTCCAAAAGGGGTTGGACTGTATAGGTTTGAACTTTGAACTTTGGAACTCATTTTTAGTATTTTTTTACCAAATGTTATCCTCTTGCTCTCTTGAATCTTGATCATATATAAAAAAAAGAAGAAGAAGAAGACTGAAGAAGTTACCCTCTGTATTTGTTGCAACTCAAGTTGACCAGTAGGACTGTTGCAATGAACATTCCAATATTTCACTCCAACATAGAGCACATGACACTCAATGTATGAAGACCAGAGTTCGAACCCAGATGGGACTAGATGAACGAAAAGTTGAAAACTCAATAATTCTGGATTACCCAGGACCGGTTTATGAGAATGAAGTACATTACAATAAACAAACTCATCAGCGGTACTGAGTCATACACTCGACAGAGCAATACACTCGATAGCAACAATGAGTCGTCACACTCGGTCCAGAAAACACAGATTGACACGAAGTTCGGTTCTTCCAACCTCATCAATTCACCAACCCGGTTCCCACCGAACACGACCACAACCCGCCTCGGTCCCTTTGGCTGACGCCGTAAAGACCGGGAACCGAAAGAGACCAACTTCTACGTCAATCGTTGCTTTAATACCTGTATTAGAGCCTAAGCTCCTACGTGGGCGACTGGTACAAAACAACGGAGTAGTTCGGTTACCGTCAAACGTGGGAACCCACTACACAGGCCAAAACAAAACCCTAACCAAGGGGTAAGTGCCAGGCCGGGCCAGGGCCTGGTCGTCCCAAAATTCACACGAGCCGAAACCCAATCAAAATCACACCTACCTACATGACCCGAGGCTCAAGGGGTCAAAAATGCAACCATAACGAAAACACAAACACAGACTACACCAAATCAAACCTATCTGCAAACACGCACGTCTACCAACGCGGATGGGTCAAAAAATGGTACACACTGGCGCTACTATCTCGGACCCCAAAAAAAAACACACAGACGACCCAAATCGAACCTATCTGAAAGCGCACAGGTCTAAACAATGCGGATAGGCCAATCAATAGTACACAACGGCACTACTGTCCCTGTCACGATCTTCATTGCGCCTACCCCGAGACATACTCAATAGCCAGCTTCCACGGTTCATCCTTGCCGTGGGCAAACCTCTTCAACACCCGCATAAAGAAATCAGACGGGAAATCCTTCACCCGTAGCTCGCGCTTTAAGGAGATGACCCTGCGCGGGATTTCGTGTCTGATTGTCGTATTTTGATCAATAAGATGCAGATAGCTGGCTATCACTGCGCTCTTTTGCAATTTACTGCCCCATGAAAGATAGGATTGTCCATCTTTTGCAATTTACTTACCCGGGACCGGTCCGAGTTTGATATAGAGCAGATGAAATAGGCTACCAGCCAGGCCGCCCGGGTCACCCTATTTTCCCGGGCGGCCCGGCCGCGCAAGGACCAGGGAAGGTCCCAGCCAAAAAAAAAAAAAAAAAAAATCCGAAAAAAAAAAAAAATGGTCCAAACTCCAAATTAAACAAAAAAAAAAAATGATTACTTCCTACCAATGATGACAAACAGAGGTGTTGTTCCAAAAATACGAGGAGCCATGGGCCCGTGGCCACCAACGGGCCTAGCTCAGTTGGTACACCTGTGAACTGCTGAATGACAGACCAGAGGACCAGAGTTCAAATGCAGATGGAACTGGATGAACCAAACTCGATAATTCTGAATTACCTCAGGCCGGTCAGTTCGATCGACGATTGCATCTCACGACCATCGCCCTTTGAAAAAAAAAAAAAAAAAAAAAAAACTGAGTGTCTGGACTCCGGATGCACTGAGCAGCCACTTGTACGTGAAAAAACAAAAAACAAATCTCGGATATGTCCACATGTGTGTCAGGCTGCACCGAGCAGCCTACGACAAACGGCACTCAAAACCGTGCGGTATAGGGCCAGAACACGCTGGCTATAACTGTGAACAGACTCCCTTCTTCAGCTGGCTGAAATAACGCTGCTCCTCCTCGCTCCACAAAATTCACTCATCAAATTGTTTACCAACAAACGATTGGCTGATCGATCACTAACACTTGGAACAGCAGGGCCGTGCCCTCCCTTGGTGCTGGGCTTCCAAGCAAGGAAGAGAGCAGAGACAATAGAACACATCTTTCTGCGATGCCCGACAGCAGTCCTTACCTGGAGATGGTGGGATAGGGTGTGGCAGCAAATAGTTCCGGATCATCGGTGGCTGTGGGAGTGGCGAGCCATTCTCACGGGCCATTGCCCGCCTCTCCAAGGGGACATTTTTGCCTGGAACATGTTCCACCTGGGCCGAAGAACGCTCCTGTGGGTTCTATGGTGGCAACGCTGGCTCTAGTCTTAGACCAAGTTCGAGTCGAGGGAGAGGAGAGGATCGAACAATTTAAACAGCACATTCAACTGGAACTTACGTACAGATGGAAGTCAGTCAAGCTCGCTCTTGATACTCTTCACAGGCCAAAGAACATCGCGGAGAGGCTAGTGCAGTTCTCTAGGGAGTGGCTGTGAGAGGATCGAGAGGGGTGGGTAGCAGAGGTGTGCTGGTCAGGGGATTGGAATGGAAGTGAGGATGGGGAGAAGGACAGGGAAGGGAGGCAGTGCCACGGGATTATCGATTGAGGTTTAAAGATTGGCTGACCATTGACTCCAGTGTCCCCTTGAGACCAAAAAAGGATTTCCCAGATCCGTCCCTTCCCCACCCACAGTCCCTGGAAATACGACTGTTGTGACAAACCTTCGTCGTCGGCGAAAAGGCAGAGAATGGACCCAAAATCTGGTGATAGCAGCACCACTCCCTCAAGCTTGTAGATTTGTGAATTTCCATTTTCGTCTTTAGGAAGGGGCAACAAGCATGGGCTATGCCCACAGGATAAGGTAGACGGTGAGAGAAATGGGCAAGGAGATGCAGGGCTCCACTGGTGCCCCCCAGTGGCCCCATGGTGCCTCCAGGCCAGGATAACAGGGTTAGCCTTCTTGACCAGAGTTTTTCACAAGAAAGAAGGCTAGAAAGGGTGGGTGGATACAGACGGAGAGCCCTTCCACAACCTGCTCAGTCAATCCTCTGGAATCCAGAGTAATCAATGCTGGCAGGCGTTTTCCACAAATTTCCAGTCTCGTTTTTTTCAGATGCTTTCGAATGTTTCTGTATTATTTCTGCATAAGGGACGCTCGACCCGTTTTCCAGCAGGTGATGCTCCCCACCAATAGATGGAGCCTCTCCCCAGGTGCTAGTGGTGGCTGCTCTTATCAGTACCGCTAGCACTGAAGGGGGTGTTTAAAAACAAAAAAAAAACAAAAACAAAACAAAAAAAAATAAAATCCTACCCCTAGCGCGTCACTTTTCTAGTGCCAAATTGCCCAGGCCTACAAGGTCTTACCCGGCTCTACCCTAGAAAGTTCTACGTTTCTAGGTCCTATAGGGTCCTGTGTCCAAGAGCAGCTCACCGTACTACCACTTGGACGTCCCAGGTTCGAGTCCTTTTTTTTTTTTTTGGTCCCAGGTTCGAATCTGACTGGCAGCAAACTATAAAAACATTAAAAAAAAGAATAACTGATAATGTCGTTCGGGACATCCTTTAGAATTGGAATGATACAGAGAAGATTAGCATGGCCCCTGCGCAAGGATGACACGCACAAATCCAGAAATGGCCCAAATTAAAAAAAAAGAAAAAAAGAAAACTGATAATACTTCCTGCTCACTTGGGTCAGGTCTTGGGTTCAAATCCCGACCATGCCCAACAAAAATTATTATAACATAATAAAGGTTTGAAAGTTGAAACAACAAACAAAGCAGTTCAATCCTTGAAAACCGATTGCCCAGCCAGGCAACTAATCACACGAGCTTTTAAGCACACGCTGGATCAGCAACGGAGGGTGTGGGTGTGAAGATGGAGACAATCATCGACTTCACACAGGTCTACAGTGTTCAGGAGATCGATGTTAACAGCTGATAACTCTCCAGAAGCCAAAGAACAAAAAGAAGAAAGAAAGAGAAATACAAATTAGAGGTTCCCCTTCACCTTATGAAGGCTCCCTTCCAGTCGGGAGTGCAGCTCCATAGCCTCTCTGGCAAAAGTATTGATTTCAGCCACATCGTCCCCACCCTCAGTTATAAGCAAAACCTGCACAGAGAAACCGGGTGACTTAGAGAAAAAAACAGTAGAATTTCCATAACCCTCTGTTTTCTGCAGTACTGGTTCACAAAACAAAGCAGGCAGATCTTCACACGCCGTGCTTATAATCAACACCACTTTTTCACGTAGATTTCACAGAATTTTCACCCATTCATACACCCACTCTCTGAACACACATGCACTCCCCCCCCTCCTCTCCCCACATGCACACACCCACACCCACACCCACACATGCACACCCACACACACCCACATACCCACACACCCACACCCACATCCACCCACCCACACACACACACACACACACATCCCTATCGACAAACACAAACAGTCCATGTTCCGCAGGGATACTTCCATCTTCCATTCTTAATCTCTTTCCATGTTTCCTAACTCATGCATGAAGGATAGCTATTAGACCTGAGGACCAGCAACAAAATGCCTTTCAGACCAGGTACAGTCTCTACGAGTTTGTGGTGATGCCCTTTGGCCTATGCAAAGCTCCTGGGACGTTCCAACACGCAATGAACCGGATCTTTCATGACAACTTAGACAAGTTTATCGTCGTGCACCTCGACGATATCCTTATCTTTAGTAGGACTGTAGAGGAGCACGCTGAGCACGTGAAAACAGTGCTAGGGCTCCTAAGACAGCAACAGTATGGTAAACTTGGCGAAATGCGAATTTGGCCGCACCAAGATCTTGTATCTGGGTCATGAGATTTCGGAAGATGGATTGAGGCCGGATGATGCCAAAGTGGCCAGCATACACGACTGGCCCAGACCTCAGTCTGGGTCTGAGGTGAGGTCATTCTTGGGGATGACAAGCTACTACTGCCCGTTTGTTAAGAATTATAGTACCGTAGCCGCCCCTCTAACTGACCTCACGCGCTTTGACACCCCATGGGAGTGGACCGAAGAGTGTGAGGCAGCCTTCAAGAGATTGAAGTATGCCCTCAAACGTCCGGATCCTGAACAGCCCTTTGTTGTGACCACAGACGCAGCCAATACGGCATAGGTGCAGTCCTTGCGCAGAAGGAGGGGGAAACGTTGAGGCCGATCGAGTACATGAGCAAAAAAATGCCATCTCAGAAGTTAGCTAAGTCCACGTATGAGCCTGAGCTTTATGCTCTCTACAGCGTGCTGTCCATTGGAGGCACTACCTCCTAGGCAGATTCTTTAATGTGAGATCTGATCATGAGATGCTGCGCTGGATTAAGACACAGCCTGTGCTCTCCGACGCACTTGAGAGGTGGATTGAAGTCACAGATATGTATGACTTCAAGCTCGACCCTCTGAAGGGAGAGTGTAACAAAGTGGCTGATGCACTATCGCGTAGGGCAGACTATCTGGGAGCGCTGGGGACTGAGTTTGGGATTTCTGATAGTGTAACTCGATCTATGGTGGAAGCCTATGAAGAAGACACAATCATGTCTGAGATCATCCGCAAACTGGAAGCTAAAGACAAAGCTACTGCTGATGAGTTTGGGGTGATTGAAGGCTTGTTGTTCCTTGAGAAGGCAGGGAATAAACGCTTGTGTTCCGAACACGGAGTCTTTGCGTAGTTTATTTTTAGGTAAATGCCACAATGCAAACCGTACATTTCGGTTATAAAAAGACAGCAGCAAATTTAGTGCAGCGATTTCGGTGGCCCACAATAATGGATGATGCGAAGAAATATGTAGAGACTTGTCAAGTTTGTCAACGGGACAAGCCTTGGACTTAGGCACCGCTTGGGCTTACTGAGCCCTTGCCTACACCTGCTGGTCCTGGTCAGAGTGTCTCAATGAATTTCATGGATACTCTTGTGACCAGCAAAAGCGGTAAACGTCACATCTTTGTCATTGTGGACAGGTTCACCAAGTATGCTAGACTAATCGCTATGCGTGAGACAACTAGGACTGACCACGTCATCAAGCTATTCATGGACAACTGGGTACGAGACTTCAGTCTCCCTAAGTCTTTTGTGAGCGACAGGGATGTCAGATTCACTAGCGAACTGTGGCAAAGTACAGCCCAACAGATGGGCACCCGACTGCAAATGACATCAGGGAACCACCCTGAGTCAAATGGGCAGGCCGCGCAGATGAGCCAGGTAGTGCAGCACTTGCTCTGGCATTATATTAAGCCAAGTCAAGATGACAGGGATGAGAAGTTACCTCTCACCGCCAGCCTGTACAACAATGCTGTGCACAACACTACCGGTAAGACCCCCAACCAGCTGCATCTTGGTTGGAAGCCAATATCTGCTCTCGACTTCCTGTTGCCTGAAAACCAGCCAACCACAGCACCTGGTAGCATAGAGTTTGCTGTCAATGACGAACAGATGCTGCAGCAGGCTGTATAGCACATAAACAAAAGCTCAAGATGTCATGGTTGCATCGGAGAACAGACACAGACGACTATCTGCATTTCAGGTAGGTGAACGAGTCTGCGTAAAGTCATCTGAGTTGGGACAGAGTTGGGAATCTCACGCAAACTGATGCCACAGTACTTTGGACCCTGGGAAATTCTGGACATAGTAGCAGATCAACCCGATGGTCCATCATATGTTATATGCATTCCTGGACACCTTCGTACACACCCTGTTTTCCATGCATCTCAGTTGGCACCCTTCCCTGAAACTGACAGTTTCCCTCAAGAAGATCAATGCTGCCCCCAACCATGGACGGACATGCGGACATTGACGATATCGTCGAGCACAAGCTGATGCCTGTGCCCAAGCCTCCAGGCAGGGGATGCCCTCCGAAACCGCAGATGCAGTATCGAGTGCGGTTCCAACATCATACTGATCCTAAAGAAGATCGGTGGTTCACAAGAGGAGTTAATGAAGACTGCTCCCCAAATTATCTCAAGTTATGAATGAAATTTGAAACGGAAGCAGCCTGCTGTGTAACGACTTCTCAGAGGACTATTGAAGTAAAGGAGGAGTGAGTGCGAGGGTTTACCCCTCGGTTAGGGCCTTGCAGCAGGCGCGTGCCCGCCCTAAGTGAAGGCGGGCCCCCTGAATCTCAATGTGCCCTGAGTTCGTCAAATTTTGCAAATCTTGGTGGGCGCCAGACAGTTGCCACGCGCCAGTTGGTTACATCCACCTTGCTCGTGAGAATCCAAAATATTTGAGACAGCCTTCAAGGCTCTTCCAGCAACGTGGTCTAAGCAGAGAGCACCGCATGTTTGTTCCTGGGCGGTTGGGCAAGCCTAACCAATTCGGTCCCAGGCCACTGTCTGGACGGGCCGAGGCGCAGACACTTTGGCCGAGACTGAAGCTACTGGAAACTCGGTCTCACGTGGGAAGCAAGTGGAAAGCGCCCGCCAACTTTCCATATAGGAAAGGGCTGGGCTCCAGACGAGACATTCAGGCACTTGCAATTGCGGGCGGCAGCGCTGCTGGAGCGATCGCTCGCGGGCTGCTTGCTGCGCTAGCGCTGGTGCTGCGTGCACACATGGACATGCAGGGTGCAGGGCGCTGCTGAGGGCAGCGCCATAGCCAGCCCCCATAGCCGGGCTTGGCTTGGATATAGCCAGTGGAGGTGGTGGTGGTCTTCATGTTTGAGGGGGAAGAAGTGGGTGAGAAAGTCGAGGGTGAGAGAGAGAGAAAGAGATGAGGTTGATGATGTGAGGGCAAGTACCTGGTCTTGGCGATGGTCTATAATGGTCGACATCTTCACGTAATTCAGTTCTGCTGCTGACGTCAACTGGATGCATTGTCAATTCGTAGGCTGCTAGTAGGCTGTGTGACAGTAGTCTGGGCGCTGAGCGCCAAGTAGGAGGAAGGACTCTGGATACATATGTTGGTGGTGGCGAGAGTATGCTCTCATTGACATTCGAGTTCAGTGCTTTGGTTCTCCGTTGGTGGAATATCAGTGCATTTCTGCTTTCTGGACAGCGTTGGACTCGCTGGCTTTCAATGTGATTTTGCATTCAGGATTTCTGTCATATCGCTATCTCTCATTTTCCTTGCACAAAGATCTGATTCATTTTCTTCTCACTGGCAATTGGGAGCAGGAGCTTGAGAGGAGAGCGGAATTGTTTTATCAGCATTGCACACCTTCAGTTCTTCTTTCTCTTCTTCCTCCTCCCTTCAAATTATAATTGAGCGGGGAGGCATTCTCTCTGCGGAAAGTGCCCGGAGTGCGTCAAGCATGTGCTCTATGTACACGATTGATGCTTCCCCTGCGCTTTTCTTTGCACCTCTCCCCCGTAGCATTGACCTTGGCACTCCAGTGTGCCCGGACTTTGACTGGACATGCGACACTAGCCTCCCCCGACCCCCTCACTTGTGCCAATAGCACGCCGTCATCCCCCTCAATAGCTCCCCTCCACTGCCCCTTTTACTGTGAAAGCATATTTCACGCCCCTCTCATCCCTTCCTCCAGACTTCGTTTCCACAGCATATTGCAATGCCCCTTCAAACTCTCCATCATTCCCCTTTTAAGAGGATACCAACTGCAAAACCCCTCATTGTGGCTTGATATTCTCCTCATTCACATGCCATAATGTGCAACCCATTACATCTCCTCCTTCCTCCCAAACCCTTCCCTTCCTGAGATAATATATCGTGACCGCCCCTTCTTACGGGGATAGCGTACTGAAAAACCGCTCGTAACCCCTTGATATTCTCCTTCTTGCCTCCTCATCGACATAGCATAATGCAAATCTCAGTCTCCTCCTCCTCATCCTCCCTCCATTTGCTGAGATAATACATTGTGACATCCCCCTCCTCCTTCCCCTCCCCCTCCATGGATAGCATACTGCAAACCCCCCTTGAAACTACCTCATCCCCACCGTGCCCCCTGTACAGATAAGATATTTTCAAACCAACCTTAACCCTTCCGTTCTGACTGGTGTGGCGCACAAACAGGAAGAGGAAAAAGGTGAGAGCAAACTCAGGAAAGTAGGAATCCTTGCCTCTTCAAGCATTGACTTTGTCTCCGTTGTCAGCATAGCATGTGCCTTCAGTCCACTGCAGAACTCCGTGACTGCAGCAACAGCAGCACCCAGGCTGGCTTGCAGTTCCTGTCCAATGGCTCGCAGCTCATCTGGTCAGCACACACACACACACACACACACACACACACACACACACACACACACACACACACACACACAAACACACAAAAATGAATCAACGAACAAGAGAAAACAAAGTGACGGTTGCCACACATGGACCTCTGGGAGGAACCCGGTCTCGAGGTCCCCATCCCCACATCCCTTGCCCTGAGGGCTGTTGGGTCACCGTGCGCAGGGACAACAGATCAAGTTTTAAAAAATGCCCGTGTTTGCCCACCTGCGCCACACTGCCTGTCCGCGACCCCAACACCACCACCCCGCCATGCTGGCCCTGGCCCTGGCACCCCTCGCCTCCCCTGCAGACCAACCCTGGCCCAGCACTCCCCCTGTCTGACCCTACCAGCAGCCAACCCCGTTCCGCATGCCCATCCCCACCACCGCGTCCCCACCACCGCGTCTTGCTCCTCCTCCTCCTCCTCCATGACTTCCCCCTCTTTCTCCTCTTCCATGGCCTCCTCCACCTCCTCGTTCTGCTGTGCACGCTCCACATGGCACAGGTGCTTTGACTTTCTGAATCTTGGTCATCATCACCATTCCCCTCCTCCTCCTCGTTGTCATTCTTCAGCATGCACACGCCAATCTTTTTCTTCTAATCGTTTTCATCATCCTCGTCCTCCGCCTTCTCCTCCTCCCCCTCCCCAACTTCCTCTTCCTCCTCTACCTCCTCCTCCTCTACCTCCTCCATGCCTTTGTCCTCCTCATTCTCGCACCCCAATCTTTTTTATTTTATCCTTAGATTCTTGTTCTCCCCCTTCTTCTTCCCGTCCTCTATCTGAGCCTCCACCTCTTACTCTCCTCCACCATGTCTTCCACGCCTGCCACCTCCTCCATGTGCCCACACCCGTCACAGGAGGCGTGTCACACTGTGCCGTCCCCGCCCCTACACCACACCCCCATGCACCGCCCTAAAAGGATTTTCTCAAATTTTCTGGACAAAGGGCTGCAGGGAAGGTGCGCTTGCTGCACCCTCCCCCAACTTCTTTTGTCCGACTTTATTGTTTACGTTTTTGTTCCCAAAAAAATAAAAAATTGCTGGATGGGTGGCCAACTCCCGGACTCCTGGGACTCCCACTAGGAATCACCAGCCAGGGGTCTACAAATGAGCGAACTAGCAAAACAAACGAACAAAGGGCAGATTGACAAGACTACATAAGACCTGCACATATGACAACACAATGATAAATCAGCAAAAGGAGGGGCGGGGGACACTGAAAAGGTTGAGCAGCCCGGGAGATTCGAACAACACCAAAGGGAACAAGTAACCACCGACCTGAGCAGCTTTCGAACTTTTCCTTTAAACCTTGCACAACAGCCTCGTGGGTGGCCAACCCTGCTTTGGCTGATTCCATGCGCATCTGAGCTCCCGCCAGCTCCACTTGGCTATCTGTAGTGCACCCAGGGGTGGCACAAACACAACTCGTCAGAGTCTAATTTTACTCAGGGCAATCGCATACACCCTAACACAGCATAGTCTGTAACCAGGGACAAGGTAGGCCTTGGGCCAAGTAAGCTGACAAATCACAGCAGCAAGTCCAATTCAATGCATTCGCTTAAACAAATCATGGTCTTTATGAGGTGTACCTGGTTTGCGGTTGATTGTGCACATATAGGCTTACTGATATATAGGATTGTGCTAGCCATCCGGTGGTTTCTGCCCATGGTTCCAATATCAAGCATCCATCCTTAGGGTCAAGCCCAAGGTTGTTGAACCACCATCTTCCCCCGAACATAACGGATATGCATTGTATTCAAGTTTTCCAGAAAAAATCAACGATTCGAATAGAACGCATATGTTTTGTATTTGAATATACCAGCTGTTTGAATAGAACACATATGCCTTGTACCCGAACACAAAGCAGTCTATGCGTTCTATTCGTTTACAACACAAGCGTTATGTCCAGGGGAAGACAGTAGTAGCAGGGGCAACCAAGCAACCCCCAGACAAAGTTTCTGATTTGTCGGCCTCTGAAGCAAGATGAGAGAGTACCAACCACTACCTCCTTGACTGTCGACTCTCGTTTTGGCCAGAAACACGAGTGACAAATCAGTGCTCCCCGCAAGCAAAAGAGTCCCACTTGCATGACCTAACTTAGAATCACAAACCTATCACATCTGTTGAAGTCCGTGGCAGACAATAGTAAAGGGGCATTCCGACAATTGTCAGTAAAGATGAGCCGATATATTGCTCAGTCTGTTCGTAACTAGGTACATGTGCACGTAACCAGGCACATTTCGAAAGAATGCCTGCAGAAGTGCTAGCAATGCAACATAGAGACACCTGTTATCTTCGCTCCAATTAATTCAAACGACCTCTGAATATGCATATTATACAATTGCAACATGGTTGCATCCCTGCCGACTGCCGACCCCGACCGCCGACCGTATTGCAGCCGACCAGTAGGGCCGACCGGTCGGCGGTCTGCCGACCAGTCAGAAAACAACCATCCAGTAAATTTTTTTCAGATCTGAGTTGGAAGCTGTACTGCGCTTGCTGAGTACAGCCCAAATCCGCTGAGAAACTTTTGGGGATGGGGGGGTTGGGGGTGGGGTGTATAGGGGGATATAAGGGGGTATAGGGGTGGTATAGGGGGTATTGGGGGAGTTATGAGGGTGTTGGGGGCCGGTTTGTGGGTGTTGCGGGGAGGTATAAGGGATTGAGGCTGAGAGTGTTCATTCAAGGTTTGGCTATGGAAGGTACTTACCTGAGTTGGTTGTGACCTGCAGAGGTGGCGCTGATGAGTAGTGACCACGTTGATGATTTGGAGACTATCTGCAAGGGTAGCACTGATTCACTGGAAGGCATATTGATGAGTTGGCAAGATATTGGTGTTGCACTGATGAGCGCTGGACTCAGGGGAACTTTGAAACACTTTGTATTCATATTTCTGATAATATAAACTGTGAAACTCGGTCCTCATCTTCTCTATCTTTGTCTATTGTCAGACTACTGTTCATTGTGTGTGGGAGTACGATGCATGGCATGTATGGCATGTACACACTTGCGTGAGATGGTCCCCAGGACCCATGCAATAATGCCATAAGCAAGATGTTTCCAGGCGGGAGGGGGGGAACTTAAACCACCACCACTACCTTTAAGGCTCTTATTGCCAAGGCGGATTTCCCCTACACGTCAAGCTTCGCTGGAGCGCCAGCGCAGTGTTTTTTTTTTTCCTTTTCTGGCTGCCGCCGCCAGCCATCAAGGTATGGTACCCCTGAGCCTCCAAAGAACCCGGAATGTTACATTTTCGCTTCTCGGCGTTGCCTTGGAAAGGTAGTGGTGGTTTAATACTCCCGAGCGCGACAAATGATCACTCAAAATCAATAACCCTCAATATCCGCGATGCAGGAATACGCAGCACGAAGTACTGGGCAGTCCTCCGATACTGCCGAAGAAGGCAGTCCCAATGGCGAACACACAAGAAAAAGGGCATACAGCAAGTGCCGCTGACACTACACGTTCCTAATGGCTCCCTAAAAAGAGTACTTTTATTTCTGTATTGATGTAGACTACCAGTTTGGGGGCCCGGCCCGGGTCAGTCCCACAAGGGACCCGCCCAGAAGGCCTGACCAGGGTTGGTTCCACACAGGACCCGACTGAAAGGCCTGGCCGTGCAGCCCACCCAGGCCCAGCCCTGGGCCTAGTGGCACCCCAACAAAACAAAAAACGGAAAAAAAGTTTAAAAAACTGGGTTATGTAAGATGGAAAATGCAGCAACTTTTGGCTGATTGTCATTCCGAAACTGGTCATTAAACCACCAGTACTTGGCCCATACATCGGCCGCGGGCCATTGTCATTAAAGGCCTGCAACTTCCGGGCTTCGGGGTACCAGACCTCAATGGCTGGAAGCGCCAGCCAAAACGAAGTCGAAACAGCGCCGCGGCGGTTCGGGAAAACTTGGCGCGCAGGGGGTCGGCCGGCTCGACATCGATAGCTGGGCCCAGTACTGGGGGTTTAAATTGAAAATAAAAGAAAAAACAGAAAAAAGGAAAAACATACTTCCCTGGTCCACGTACACCTTTTTTTCCCCTACAGGGTGTTTGTGTGTGTGTGCCTAAATTATCACCGTAACAAACCCTTTTCAACCAGATGAGCTGATCAAAATTTGAAACAGCTTTACCTTTATGTCAAGCAACATAAAGCACACTAAGACGGCCAGATCCAAAACTAAAACAGCTTACCTCTATATCAAACAACATGAAGCATGTGTGTGTGTGTGAAAGGGAGAGAGAGAGAGAGAGAGTGGTGCAGCAGGAGATAGGCACTCTCCCCGTCCCCTTCGCATTGCCCCTGCGTACATCCACTTCCCCTTCCTCGGGGAGAGAAAGTGCTGTGGCACTCCCCCCTTCCCCCCCCTTCTGGCTTTATCCCCTTCTTTCCCCCTGCTCTCCTCCTCCTTCCCCCCCTACTTTCCCCCCCCAATCTCCTGCAGCTTCCCCACCAACTTTCCCCCCTCCTTTCCCCCGTCTCCCTCGACTTCCATCTCTCTGCAGCGACTTCCTCCCTTCCCCACCACCCACCCACCCCCGATATCCCCATTTCCCTGGCTCCCCATTGACTCCGCAAGCTAAGATGTTTATTAACACTGAGGGCATATTCACACTACAACTTTTTCAACTCAGCTCTGGACGTGATTGCAGCTAGATGCATCCACATCCAGCCATACTTGCGGTCAGATACATTGAGAACTGTGCTAGTGTGAGTATGCCCTGAGCCATCTCTGCAAGTGATTCTTGGGTTGGCCAGAACAAATGCGGAGGTCACAATGAGAGAGGAAAGGGCGCCCATGAGCATTAAACCCAAAAAAAAAAAAAAAGGTTCTTGAATTTCTTTTCCCAAAATAAAAAAGCCAAATGAAGACAAAGTCTAAAGCCTTTTCAGTCACGAAATGCCAAATCTGCACCCCTCCCATGCACCCCCCCCCAACCCCCACCCCAACCCCCTCTCCACAAGCTGCAAAAAGAAAAAGGCAGAGAACTTCAGCAGTATTTGGTGGCTGCAGAAATGGCCCACCATTTTTTTTTTAAACAAAAAAAAAAACACCCCTCCCAAAATGACTTGACCGGGTACCCGGACGGGTAGGTGCCAGTCAACTGGGCCTGGGTGGCCCGGCCAGCCGGCGGAGTGGTCCTGGTCGGGCGGGTCCGCTAGCCTAGGTTTTTATTTCTTTTCTTGAATTGGGTTGCAAATTTAAGACATCACCCTCAGATAAAAGTTGTTCGTATTTCGATGCTCCAAACTGCGCAACAAATTTCTTTCCCACATTTTTTGAAGTTTTTTTTTGGCGGGGGCCGATGGGCAACGGATAAGATATTCAACTGCTGGAGCAAGTGGCCTAGTTCAGTTGGTTAGGCACACATCTGGTATTCAGAAGGTCTTGTGTCCAATCCCAATTCACCATCTGGGCATGCTTGGTGCCAACCAACAGAGGTAGTTGGCTTGTTTCCCGCAGTTGATATCAATAGGGTCTTCGCCCATCATGTGCGTGTGTGGGTGGGCCTGTGTGTGGTTTGTGAGTGCTGGCCATAGACACTGCTGTTAGCCGATGGGGGTGGGGGAAGTGGACGGGAGGCGCAGCTAGTGGCAAAATGCTCGGTCTTTGCGTTAGCCGGCCCCCTCCTGGCACCAACCTACTCACTGCCCACCACCGATGAGGGCATGGGGCAACATGCATCCCCTTGACTGTAAGAGGTAACTATCCTTGCAGGGGTCCCCTCTATAGGCTTAGGAGTAGTGGTAGGGAGGTAGTGAGAGGTGAAATTGAGAGATGAATATAGCTTAAATTAAAGAAAAAAAAAAAAAAGCTGACATTGAAGATCATTGAACTCGTCAGAACAGGTACTACAATGAAATTCCAAAAAAAAAAGAAAACATAAATTAGAATATTTTGAATTTGATCCTGACAGCTCCAGACGTCCAGATTCCTGAGGTCGGACCACAGACCCCTCTGGGCCCTGGTCCAGGGGTCCTGAAGGTAACTATGTTTTTCTTCCTCGTTGTGATTACCCCTTTTCTCAAGGAAGGAAAAAAGCACGGAAAGGCACATGAGCCACCCACGTGATACACAGCTGAGCTTAGGTGTTGCTGATTTGGGAGCAGACGGATTGAGGTTTGGTGTGCTTACTTCCTCTAGCAATCAATGCAGCCTCAAGGCGAGCAAGCATGTTTGCATACGACTCTTGCCACACTCTTCCCAATGAATCAGCTGCGGCACCACTTGGTCTGGATCCAGGGCCAACACTTCCACTATGTGGCTGCTGCTGCTGAGATCCTGTGCTGATCATGCTTGAAGTCCCAAGAACACCTTCTCGGGAACCCTCAAATTCCAAAACCGCCCCGCAGATTCTCACAACAGTCGCAACCTGCTCCTGAACACTCCAAAGGAGCTGCCGACGGCGGCGCAAGTGTTCATGGAATTCCGTGAGTGCCCCACTTCTCCCGCTGAATCCACTAGACCCGCCGCCACCATATGCTCTCGCTAACACCCGGTCCAGCTGCTCTTCGGCTGAGATCCCCGCATTCTCTAGCTGCTGGAGTGTCTCACTTGCTTCAAGAATCGTAGCAAGCGATGACCTGAGAACGTCCAGAACCTGCCTTCTCTGCCACCATGCTACCAAGCCCCCTGCCTCCCCATCTGTGATACCATCATCACTCAGGGGCTTCCACGTCCGCAGCTGCACACATCGACCCAGGATGTGCTCATGTATCCACTCAAACTGAGCCAACTCGATTTTGGCTTGCTGCAATGCAACTTCATATTCTGCTGCACGTTTCCGTAAGCCTGTCAGAGTCATCTTCTTCTGTTGAATGATCTCATGTTTGTTGACATACTCACGCACCTTATCAGCGGCAAGCCTCACCGCCTCTTCCCTGCTTCGCCCCTTCTTGCCCACGAGTCGCGGCTCTGTTCCTGGGCTCAGTCCTTCCTCCCCATAGGCTATCGATTGGCGCATCTCCTGCATCAAGCACCCAATCACAGATGGCCACACGCAGTGCTCAACATAATCCTGTGTGTGATCTTCCTGCTGCTTGATCAGTACCTTTTGCGCCAATGCCCACGTTTGATCCATCGCACCCTGTGACTCCGATGTAGCCACGTTTGCGACTTTCATTGCACAGGAACTTATCAAGTTGTGCAGCAACAGAACCTTGCGGATGAAATGCCGGTTCGATGACAGCGATTTTGGGACTGCCCAAAATGACGGCTCATTCCCAGGTGCTGCCCTCGTGTCAAAGCTATCTCCCCTGCAGGTCACTGATTCCTCCGGCTCTGGAGGAAGATTCCTACGTTCCCCATCAAGGCTTGGGAGTGCCTTTTCCAAGCTTTCAAGAGCAGCGTAGGCCTGGCATGCCGTCGAAAGCACAATGCTCCAGTCTGATGCTCCCATGGAGTGACTTTCTCCGTCCAGCTCCCCCATCTCTTTTTTCTTCTCCTTGTCATGACCTGCAGTTGCAGAGCAGAGTAGCTGAAACCGTCTCTCAAGCCCCTCCAGGGAGTTCCTTAGACTTGCTTCCTTTTCGGCAATAGCTTGTGCTTGTGCGTCTCTTTGCTCCCATGCAATATGCAGACTCTCTAGCTCTGATTTCAACACGTCTTCTTGACTAGCCAGTTCATGTGCCTCCTCCCATGACAAATACTCTCTCCCTACCGCCATCTCCCTCTGTAATTTTAACTGCATGTCCGACTTCTCCGCTACCTTCTTGTGATACGTTGCCTCAAGATCTGCAAGAGCTTGTCTCTGAGCTTCCAGCATCATTGCCTCCTCCACTGCCGCTGTCACTGCTAGCTTTATCTGTGATAGTGAAGCTATGTCTTCAGCTGCTGCTTTATCGTGCGACAAAATCCTCTGCACCGTGCCAGGGATGACCACACTTTCCATCTGTTTCAAAAATTCACCGACACCCCCAGCACATGCGAAGCACCGTCCTGCCCAGCCCTCGGCTCTCTCAAACTCCGAGTACCAGGCCCGTCGTTGGGACTCTGTATTGGGGAATGCAACACTCCGCACATGGGTGGCAATTTCCAAGATCAACGCAGCTTGCTCCAAGAGCCTACGTGTCTCATGCAACCACAGTTGTTGCCCAACCCCTTCCTCTGATCCTTCCAGCAATTTCGAGTCATCAGTGCACGTACCGAATACTTGCCTTGCACACTGAAGAATCTCTCCAAGCAACAAAGCAATGGCAGCCTCCACAATACTGAGGACTTCCATTTTCTTTCCCCCCCCTGAGCCACCACTCTCAGAAATGGCCTCCTTGGACTTAGCAGCAGCAGCAGCCACTTCTTCATTGGTCCTCATAGGATTCGTGAATATCGTAAGAACACGTTCACGAAGACTGGCCTCTTCATTAACGTCCATGGATGCTTCTATTTGCACACACTCCTCATGCAGCCGGGTAGTTTCTGAGGCCAATCGCTCTGCCCTCTCAAAGAAACTTTGGTAATTGCTGACAACGGCATCACTATTTTCTCCCATTATTTGCGCCATCTCCTGCAAAACCTGAAGCCTTGCAGCATGGATAACAGGACAAACAGGCTGCGAAACGGATGCCTCGAACGCCCGGCACCACACAAAGACACAGCTAGTAGTCGAGTAGGCAACGGGCAGAAGTCGCTGGAGAGCGAGGGAGTATGCACGCAGTGCTGAACCAGCCTGCTGCACTGCGTCTTGGCGTCTTGTGACAAGCTGAGAAACCTCATTGTCAATTCTTTTGCACTGATCAAGGATGTCTTCTGAAATGACCTTCACTGGTACACCTGCAGCCGACAGCGCAGACATGATAAACAGAGAAGATCCAGCCGCAACAGCCGAAGACCCATTTTGCAGGACAGCAGCCAACTCGGGGACAGTTCCCATCCGAAGAGCTGTTAGCATTCGTGTCTGCTGATCAAACCATTGCCGGCATTTCCGAGCCCCATCAGCAATCATAGCCCCAGCATGAACCGCTTCACGTGACTGCATTTCATGCGCATTCGAGAGTGTCTCTACCATCGATGATGCCTCAGCCAACATGCCTCGCGCTCTTGTCTCTGCAGCCTGTGCCACCTCCAGTTTCTCCTGCGCTTGTTTTGCAATCGAACCTGCATGGAGCCCTCTCTCCTGTGCATCGGCCAATGCCTACAAACACAACAGAACTCTAATAAGTACAGTACAAAAGGTCATAAACACAGAACACACAAACAGAAAGCTTCTGGACAACCAGATCCATAACTGAGAAACTCAGCCTGTCCGCAAACTCTCAGCTAGGCGACATGCACGCTAAATAAGGCACTTCTCAAGATTGCAAGCCAAACCTTGTACTTCATGTTCAAGGAAACTCTTCCTGTACTTCAAAGCAATCCTTAAAACTGGAGTTGCAGGTATGTGATGCTGTGCACTCCACAATTCTTCAAAAAAAAAGCAAAAACCAGAGGGCTGTCGCCACAGACCTGTTGGATGCCTGGGTTCTGACAACAGGGCTAACGACTAATCATGCCAACTCACCAACCTACACAAGGATCTACCTCCCAGACCACAGAGTGAAGACCATAGGCGTGCAACATGAAGATAGCAAGATAAAATCACACCACTTAGCACACTAACAAGCAATGTGATGGAATAGAAAATGGATGCATATATTAACATCAGAACAATGCACTCACAAAATCACATCACACGAGGGGAAGAAAAAAAGTTTAAAAACAAACAGAAAAGAATATGCATTCAGAATCTCATACAGAGTAAAAAGGGAGACGGTTTATACGCACTCTCTCACATACACACACTCTGATGCTCACAAACTCGCCCCCACGAAATCCCTTCAGAAATACCTCTCCTCTACCCAACCAAGCAAACTGCAGGAAAGTAGTCGCAGACCCGGGACAAGGACGAGCACCAACATCAGGAGAGGTCGGGAGACTAAGAGAGGGAGAGAGGGACTGGGAAGAATACGGGACAGTGAAGGCCTTACGGTAGCATCCATAGCTGCATTGTTGAAGAGAACACCACGGGTGACCCGCATTCTTCATTCCACACTTCTTTCTATTGGTGCTGGCCCTCTGGGAGGTCTGGCTTGACAGACGACAGCGTGACCAAGCTGTGGAGAGACTGGGATAATTTAGCATGGAGAGGAGGGTTTTGCAATCAGACTCGCTCTCATTCACTCTTCTCATGCATGCAAACAGGTGCGCAACAAACTGGCGACAAGCGCACGCTCAGAACTCAGAGATATGGTAACCGAGCACACAGTTCAGATACAAGTTCACTTCGATGGCTATGGGGACTCGGCGCCCACACAACTCTCTGTTCGCAGACACACGATCACCCTGGATATCCCACACGCGATACTCTGAACACACACACACACATACACTGAACTCTATCTATAGCTATGGCGGCTATGGCCGTTACTACCCTATCGCTATGGCTACACTCCTCTCTCGCCCACTTCGTCCTCCGGCTCACTGCAGACCACCTCGCACAAGTCGCTTGTGGCAGCGCTTCCGCATGGCTCAGGCAGGAATGAATGAATGGCTGGGCGCTGCCTCTTGATTTATACTTCTGCAGCTCGTTGGTCTGGCCCCTTTCCCATGCCCGTAGTGCACACAGTCCCATGCGGTACTTGCTTGACTGGACCAGGACTGCCTAGGACTGGGACTGCTGACTCAGCACGGGTAGACTACACCACTTGCCTCACCACTTGTCCACTTGTCTCAGCCTAAACGTGGGAGACTTCGAAAGGCCACTACTCAGACCTTCCGGAAGGCCGTAGACTTGGCCTTTCGATACTGTAGCAGCTACGACCTCGACCTTTCTGGACTGTAGCAGCTACGACCTCGACCTTTCTNCCGTAGACTTGGCCTTTCGATACTGTAGCAGCTACGACCTCGACCTTTCTGGACTGTAGCAGCTACGACCTCGACCTTTCTGGACTGTAGCAGCTGCAACCTTGACTCTTCAAGAAAGCTACAGCTACAACTTCTAGACCTGACTGAGACTCCTACTCGACAGGTCTACAGATCGAACCCCTGCTACCTATAGACCCTACGGCAACCTACCAACTGTTACAGATGCACAGGTCACGGGTTCAACTCTAGGGGTCGACACAGATACTGTACACAGGCAAGGTGGGGACTAGGGATCGAGCCCTGGGATCTGCATCGGCTACTGCGACTGGTGAATTCCGTTTCACTCCCGCCGGCCTAAATTCGAGGTCCTCCGAGAATAACTCAGTCCAAGGCAGGACCTTTTCCTTTTCTATCTCTTTCGTAGGCTCTAACTATGTCGGGAGCTGTCTCTAGAATTTCGGCTCTAGTGAACCAGCGGCCATCCTCCGGTTCCTGTGGACGACCTCTACCTCCTGTTCTGAACACATCTTCACCTGCAATGCCGTCAATGTCATATCTTCCGTCCATGTCTGGAGGGATCATGGACCGTCTAGATGGAAACTGTTGACTGGCGACACACGGCAGCAACTTTGATGCGTGAAACACAAGGTAGGTGTGGAGGTGTGCTGGGATCTCTATGGTGTAGGACGGCCCATCCTCTCTGCCCTTAACTTCTAGAACTGGCCACGGTCCTCTATACGCGGGCAGTAACTTCTGCAAGATGTTTTCCTCAGGAGCAAACTCTTTGGACTTGACCCAGACCAAGTCGCCTACTTGAAACTGTGACGGGCGACGGTGCTTATTAGCCTGTTCTATCATGCGGTGCTGGGCCTTCCTGAGGTTCTACACAACAGTGGCTATCTCTTTCTCGTGCTGTATCGCGAACTCCCTGGTATTGGGCGGTAGCCTGTGAATCTGATCCCGGTTAAGTCCCTCAAACGGTCTACATGGTCTAAAGGACTTGTGCAACTCGTTGGGAGTGCGACAGGTGGACAAATGCACGCGGTTATTGTATGCACTGGCTACCTTGGGTAACATCTCGTCCCAGTTAATCTGATCGGGTCTAATGTACATGCGCAGAACTTGTTGCAGGATCTTGTTCATCTGCTCTGTCTGACCGTTAGTCTCTGGATGGCGGCCAGATGACATCAACAACTTAGATCCATAGACTCTCATGAGCTCCTGCCAGTTCTGGCTAGTAAAACGTGTATCTCTATCACTAACAATAGACAGTGGGACGCCATGCTCACTAACCCAAAAATCGAAAAACTTCTGAATGACTAACTCTGTACGTGCCTCTGCAGGCAAAGGAACAAAAACAACATACTTGCTAAATCTATCGACTATAACCATGACTTGGCTCTTGCCGTGCCTACTCTTGACACCGGCATCCATGAAATCGATGGAGACTGAATCTCCAGGCTGGTCTGGAATAGGCAAGGGTCTGAGAAGACCTAAAGGGGCACACGTAGTAGTCTTGTTCCTTTGACAGATTTTACAACTGTGGACATACTCTATGCAGTCGTTTTCCATTCCTGGCCAGGTGTACCCGTGCATAAGGTTGGCTAAAGTCTTTTGCCAACCGAAGTGTCCCTGTGTATCATGGCATTACCCTAGGATTAGACTGCGAACCTCCTCATTGTTGGGAACGCATAGGTGGTCTACAACATTAGTCTTCTCAAACAATAAGTGCGGTAATCTGGCTCGGTCTCTGGGGCCTCCTTAACCTTCTTGAAGAGGTCACTATAGATAGGGTCCTGTGCATACGCCTGTCTAACTTTCTCTTGCAGGTCACGCCCTATGTCCAGATAGTGAACTATGGCTCCAAAGTAGTCTGACCTCCTACTCAGAGCATCCGCAACTACATTGTACTTGCCCTTAACTGGCTTGAGCTCAAAGTCGTATTGGTCTATCTCGGCGGCCAACCTAGTCAACTTAGGTGTCATTTTGGCCTGTGTCTTCAGCCATCTAAGTGTCTCATGGTCTGAATATACCTTGAAGTGCCTCCCAAGCAGGTAATGCTTCCAGTGCTCTAAAGCCTGCCTGAGAGCGTAGAGTTCTCTCTCATACGTCGAGGTGGCTACCTTCTCTGAGGGCATCCTCGCTGACATGAACTCTACGGGTCTGTAGCCATTACCGTCGTCCTGCTGTAACACGGCGCCTATTCCATACTGACTTGCGTTCGTGGTGACGACAAATGGCAAAGGCGGATCTGCTACTTTGAGGACAAGGTACTCTATTAACGCGCGCTTTAACTTTTTTAGCGTAGACGAACAGTCCTTATCCCATTGCCAGATTGCCTCTTTCTTGAGCAACCTGCAAAGGGGAGCGGCGATAGTCGAGAAGTTCCTTACGAACTTCCTATAATAGTTAGCTAGGCCTAGGAACGACCGCAACTCTGTCAATGTGCGGGGCGTTGGCCAGTCCCTAATCGCCACTATCTTACTGTCCTCAGGCTTGATGCCATCTCCGTCTAACACGTGGCCCAAGTACAAGACTTGTGTCTTGGCCCACTCGCACTTCTTTGCATTGATCTTGAAGTTAGCCTCTCTCAGTTTCTCCAAAACCTGCCTCGCTGATCAAGAATCATTAGCGAAGTAGCCTGTCATCCAAGAAGATAAGGAATGTATGGAGACGGGTGTATGCAGACCTAATCCTTGGACGTTGGTATTCTGGAATGAATGACTTTGGCAATACGTCTCATCAAGTCAAAACTGAGACAGTCCGACTACCTTGTTGGCTGCATCGATGTTATTGTCGGTAACCAGCTTCTTGTTGACAATGTATGACTGTTTTGTAGACTTCGACCTGGGGTGGTCAGATTTTCTTTTGATCTTGTGTTATTGGATATATCTTTGTCGAGTATGCTGGACTTTTAATTGAGTGTGATTATTATTGCTTTCGTTCGAGTTGTGTGTCTAAGGGACTAGGATTGAGTTGTGGGTTTCACGCTTGGTTGAGACCGTCCTAGTCAACCGACGTTCGCTTCGTACTTAAGAGATCAGCGGCTTAGGGAGTGGACGACGCTCGGGTCCACTTGGCGTTAACCAAGCGTATCTATACTATACTGGTCATCAGGATGGACTTCTATTTGATGATACCCGGACTTCCAAGTCTATCTTTGAGAAATACCTGCAACCCTGCACCCGATCTAAGAG